AGGCAATATTCAATTTTTACAATCAATAAAAGGCATGAGTATAATCAGTGATTCCCAAGCACAATTAATTGCTGACTTCCACTTCTTCCCATGAAGGTATAACTACTATGGGACTTGCTCACCCGCTATATGTGAACAAGTGAGAAAATTTGACTTGGTGTGTGAATAAACTGTTTTCAGAAATTAGACAATAGGTATTACAGGGCTGATCTCAGAGACACTGCAAATAAAGAGAGTGAGCCCCATGTCCATCCCATATTTCGTCCCACAGCAGTTTCAGAATTGTGACAAAGGGAATCCAAACAGACTCCAGTAGTGCCACTGAACTGAGAAGCTAGAGGATGAAGTTTTGAGGGAGCGAGAATTAGTAGCAGAGTATTAGAAAAGCAGGAGCTATGCAGAGAAAGCGCTCTAGAATTTTGCTTAGGGGTCCCCGAGTCTTTAGTTGAATACTAATTTTGCACGTGCGTAGGGTGACACTTCATGATGCTGGGGAAGGAACAGCTGTATGGTAAGTAATTACAGGGAAGGGTAAGCCAAACGACTCTCAGCTTACAGGGCTGGGAATCATTTATGCACCCAGCAGCGAGAGTGGGCAAACACGTGGCATATTCTGTGGAGACCTTAGATGTGTCATATCTTAATACTGGAGCTAAAGGAGCCCTAGAGTAAAAACTGCCTTAGACCCACCCCAAAAGCCCAAAACCAAGCCTAAAGAGGATCAAGCCCATCTCCAAGTAACTAAATTCCCCAACAAAGTTAAAAACTCTTCACAAGAATGTTAACAAAACCCAGCTTGTAAAAATGTCAAATTCCCAGTGTACAGTAAGTATTCAATAAAAATTATAAATACACAAAGCAAGAAAGAGATACATAACTAAAAGAAAAATTGACCAATAAAAACTGACCCAGATATGAGATGATGGAATTAACAATGATGTTAAAACAGCTTTTATAAACATAAGTATGCTCAAAGATACAAAAAAATGAGTACGAGGAGGAAAATAGATACACAGGAGTGGGCAAAGGTAAGTTACAATTGAGTACGTGAAATGGTTTATTGTTGTATTTATTTTCATTGTATTTATTTGTATTAGAACTGTAAACCTATTTTTTTCCCATCCCTGTGTATAAAAAGAGAACCAAATGGAGTTTCCAGGCCTGAAAAATTCACTGGATGGGATCAATAGAATATTTGACATAGCGGAAGAAAATAGAAGTAAATGAAGTTACGGCAATAAAAGCTATCTGAAATGAAACTTAGAGGGGAAAAAAGATGACAAGTCACAGGTGAAATCAGAAAATATCTTGAACTAAACGAGAGTGAAAACATTTGTGGAATGCAGCTAATGCAGTGCTTAAGGAGAAAAGTATAGCATTAAAATACTCATATTAATACAAGAGGTCTTAATTCAGCCCACCTTAAGGTAGAAAATGCGCAAATTAAACCCAAAGTAGAAGGAAGAATATGAAGGAGTACAAATCAATGAAATAGGAAATGAATGAACAAAAAGAAAAAAAATCAGTGAAATAACCTGTTCTTTAAAACATTGGTAAACTACTAGCTAGGCTGATCAAAAAGGAGAAAGCACAGACTACCAATATCAGGAAGGAAGGAGAGGCCATAACTAGAGCTCTTACATGCAGGATATTGAAAGGACAAGGGAATATTTTAAACAATATTATGCCAACCCAACCAATAAATGAACTATTTCCTTGTGTGACACAAGTTAGCAAAGTTGACTACAGGATATAAAATCTAAACATCTTGATATCAATTAAAGAAACTAAGTAAAAAAAAAACCTAAACAATGAAAAAGCTTTTTTTCAAAGAGAGCTCAAGGCACATATTGCTTCACTAGTCTGTTGAGCATTTAAGGAAAAGTAATATCCTACACAAACTCAGAAAAGAGGTATTTTTCAGAAAACATTTTATGAATCTAGGGTCAGGAAAAAATATATTACAAACCAATAACTGAGGAAAGATAACTGTAACCCATGTAAATACAAGGAATAGTATCTGGAATATATAAAGAATGTGTATTAGAAAAAGCTGTTCTAGTAGAAAAGTGGACAGAAGACATAACCAATTCATGGAATGAGAATGACCAATAAATGTGAATTCTTATAGGCAATTAATAAAATCTTAAAATAACTGAAACAGAAACTATTTCACACTCATGAAGAGGATTCTTGGCTAATTTTAATGTTCAATAACACAAGGGATAGTGGTGGGGAAACCCCAACTTAAATCGCTGCTAAGAGATTATTACCAGAATGGGTACAATCACTTTAGAGAGCCACTCCACTTCTAGGTGTCAACTCCATGAAGCTCATGTGTGTACAAAGATATAGAATAGTCACTGCAGCAATAATTTATAGTAATGAAAAAAGAGGAAACAAATTATCTCTCAAAAGAATGTTTTATTTATATAACAAAATACTGTACAACAATGAAAATTATCTACATTTGCCAACATGGATAAATCTCGAAAACGTTGAACTACCAGTTACAAAAAGATATGTACAATATAACATCCATGTAGAATGTTAAAACACAAAACAATTCTTAATAGTCTATGGGTAAATGCAACAGTGAGAATATAGAAATATTAAAAGAAAAAAAACACCAAATTTAGAATAATGATTTTGAAGACAAAGGAAAGGATCAAAGCTAGATCAGAAAATGCCAGCAAAGATCTATAAAAGTAAAGGCAGTAAATGATCTGGAGCTGGAGTGGGCAAACCTTTTCGATGAAGGGCTGGACAGTATATATTTTAGGTTGCAGGCCCAAGAGGTGAAATCAAAAGATTTTATGTAAGTACTTTATTAGCGTTCAAATTTAGTGTTTTTTTAAACACCAAAATTGATAGCTAGAATTCCCCCCCCCCCCCGCCCCCAACCTTTTGAAAACACAAAAACCACCCTCCCTGGCCAGGTGGCTGTTGATTGGAGCATCGTCCCATACAAGAAACTGTTGCAGTTTTAATTTCCGGTGAGAGTACATAACTAGGTTGCAGGTTCGATTCCCGGTTGAGGCATGTATGGGAGGCAAAGGATTAATGTTTCTCCCCCTTCCTCTGTCTCTAAAATCAATAAACATTATGGTTGGGTGCAGATTAAAAAAAAAATGAAAACAAACTTTTTAATTTGCAGGTTAAACAAAAACAGGCAGAGGGCTACGTTTGGCCCAAGGGCTATAGTTTGCTCACTGCTGGCCCAGAGCAGCATTTCCCAGTATAACTTTCTGTGGTGGTGGAAATACTCCTCCATCTGTATCATCCCCAATATGGCAGTCACTAGTCATATGCAGCTCTTAAGCATTTGAAATATGGCTACTATGAGAAATTAAATTTTAAATTGTATTTAATCTTAATTAAGATAACCATTCAAGAGTTTTTATAAATTTAAAGAAGAGGTAATAAGGGGAGTGGTTGAGTAAATAAAGTGGAAATAAAGATTGTGATGAGAGAGTAAGACATGAATCAGGACTGATATTTGAGAACAGGGACATACCAACTTAGTAGAAAAAAGTGCATGGCTTTGGGGGTCAGGAATAAAAAGGTTTTGGCTGATGAAAAGGATTTGGAGTGTGATTGATACAGAATGCAGTCAGATAGGAAGATAAGTCAAGAAAACTTGAGGTCAGGATTAAAGAGTTCCCTCAGTAGAAGAGAGTTTGTTGACTGTGGACCTGGAGATTCCACAATGGAAAGCTGAGAGAGTGTAAGGTTGAGAGTATGGTGGGGGAGCCAAGAGTTCCTTGGCAATGACTATAGAGAAAACCAAAGTGTGGGGAGAGAAATGTCCAAGAAGGATGAGAGCAGTGAAGGCTAGCAAGTAATATGACTAGGTTCATACTCTTGGATACTTAAAGAGCAGAAGAAAAACACAAGCACTATATTGTACAAATTTTATTGCTCTTTAAAAATGGATAACCTACATTGCTTTAAAGTTTAAAGAGGTATATACAAGCAGTGGCTTCAAACTTTCAGGACTGAACTAATTCTCTCATTGGTTGATCAAAAATACAAAAACAATCCTTGGCATCATACATTTAACAATTGATTTTTATGACGAAATAAGTAACTATCCTGAAAGTCCATGACATAATTTGTGGTTTTGCTGAGGTATCACTTTGAGCAATATACATCCAGAGCTTGGGGTTCAGAGTCAGTTACTTACTTAGTCCCTCATCTTAAGCAACCATTAATTCTCTTGTCATGAGCTTGTACATATTTTATCTGAGGAATTAAATACAACAATGGTATAAGGGAACCACGAACAATAGGATATACCCTACTATGAATGGCAAGAATTTTATTAATTAATTAATTAATTAAATCCTCACTGAGGACAAACACTGATTTTAGAAAAAGAGAAGGGAGAGAGATGGAGAGAAACATCGATTGGTTGTGTTGAACATGCCCCAACTGGGTACCGAGCCTGTAACCCAGGCATGCGTTCTGACCATGACTTGAACCCGTGACCCTTCAGTTTACACGATGATACTCCAAACAACTGAGCCACTCTGTTCAGGGCAAGAATTTATTTCATTCAAATATTGTATAAGGTGTTTCAAAAGATCCTCAGCCTGTTTTCAAAAATCATTCTAATATTCCCCACTTAAGGGAAAAATAAAAGTGCCAGAAACTTATAATTAAAATATCTTATTTGAATAATTACTAATTTCCAAAACGTTGGTATAAGATACATTTTGACTAAAATTAAGGGTTCTAGGCAGTATAAGAAATCTAACTATAATAGTGCTTAAGTCCAGTTATTTATATTTAAATGAAAAAAATAAACCAAATCTATTAAAGGCTTAAGGAAAAAGATAACATTTGAAATATTGTCTTTAAGCAATGTTCATAATACAAAGTCCTGTCAAGAGAGTATTCAGTGGCAATAGCTGAACCCACTTGTGTGCTATCTCACAGATTCTCTTGGAGCAATAGAAGGGGGTGTAGGATGATTTAAACAGCATCCAACAAATGCTTCATTGTATTTTCTTTATACTTTTTTTTTTAGAACTCCGTCTGCAATCCCTTTTTTGCTTGAAAACAGGTGAATTCAAGAAACATAAATCTGTAAAAGGGTCTCCTCTTCTTAGTTTCCTATAAAGGTAAAAAGAGTTCTTTAGCACCGCAGTCAATACTTTCTCTTTGGTATAAAGTTATTGTAAAATATGCCAGTGTTAATATTCCCACTTCAGTTTCATCAAAAGTTTATACTTCAAATAAGTCTCTTGAACAAAGCTCCTTAACCTTACTCTCCCAAAATGTTGCATTAAAAGCTAGTTCCCACAAATTAAATACTTACGAAGCGAGTGTGGGTTCCTTATAGTTCACGCTGACTGTGCACCTACGCTTAGGCAGAGACACTGCTGGGCTTTCTTTATTCTTTTTTGGAGAAAGAGAAAGTTTTCTCACTTTCACTTCAGGATGCAAGGGGACATTGGTGATATCCTTCAGGCTACAGTGAGGTGACTGGTGAGTTTCAGGTAGTGCACCTACAAAAACAACTTTTACTGAATATGGTCCAAAAAAAAAAAAAAAAACCCCAAAAGAACCTCATAGGAAATTAAATTGTATGTAATTATATATTCTAAATATATATAACATCCAGCATTTATATAGATTTTTAACCTATCAATCATTTTTTCATCCCAGGTGGCACGGAAATATTAATTATTGTAGGTGTGAGGAACTGATACAATAGTTTACTAAAAGTTAAAATTCTTAAAAATTAAAAAAACTTAAAATTCTTCTAGGATAGCTTGGACATAATGAATTAATTTAAACTATGGAATTTCATTTTAGTCACACTTTGTTCTTTAGAATCATCAAGACCTCTATTTCTATCAATAACCAAATTTTATCACTGTGGCTTCCTATAGTCTTATAAATCCACTTAAACTCACTCTGTTAAATAAACGAGACCTCTAAATCACAGCGTCTTATGTAAGCCACGAGAAATGGGGTTCCTTCTAGTAAAGCTAGTAGGTTAAGAGTTACCCAATATTTTTCCTACCATAAGTATCAAAATTATTCTACTTTGAAATTACATCTATATTGGGAGACAGACACCCAGCACACAGTAAGGACACTGCAAGACAACATCTTCAAAGAACTTTAAAAACAGTCATTTTCTAAGAAAAAGTAAATTATAACTATAAAATGACTTTATATTTAGTAACCCTGTTCTCCAAGGTTATCTGGGTTTCAAAATTCTTTTTTTGTCCCCACATAAGCATATTGTACTACACTACTTATTCTCATTTTCAGTTTGGAAAACGTGGTTAAGCAATACCATTAGATCAGCTGTCATGTTCTAGAAAATTTAACATATATACGTATCCCCCAGGGAACTTGTTAAAAAGATGCAGATTCTGATTTAAGAGTAAGGGGTATAACCTGAGATTCTTCAATTGTAAGAAATCCAGGTAATGCTGATCATGAATGTCCAGGGGCCACACCCTGACTACCACTATTTAGAATGTACTTTATTTTCTTTTAAAAACTTAGGGGAATTTTCCAATGTACACAAAGATGGAGAAAACAGTATAACGAACCCACAGTTACCCATCTTCAGTAATTATCAACATTTTGCCAGTTTTGTTTATTTTAACATCATTACAGCATATTTTTTTAAAAAGATATTTGCATGTTATCACCACCTAACTGGCTGACCTTGGAAAGTTGCTTAACATTTAGGCTTTAGTTTCCTTATAAACAAAACAAACATGATGACACCTTTACAAATGACATAGCTTGGCAAAAATTTGAGAATGATACAACCTGATTGTATATGTTATTTTTACGAAACTAACTGAAATTCCCAGATGAGAATCTTTGTAGGCAGGGGCAGGCTTGCATGCTCAACCTTTGAATCACGCTGACATTTGATCTTACAAAAGGATGCTAACAATACTAAGTCCATCAGTTGCATTTTTTGGACTTTATTAGGCCACCTTCACTAACTAGAAAATTATTTAAAATCATAGCTCCTGTCAAACTGAATATAAAGCAAAGCCATTATATGACAGATCACTGGGTTTAAGTTTGAATTCATTTTTAAGGGAATGTTTCAGTTGAGTGCATAAAAGATATTTTTAATTCAACCTAACTTCACAAAAATGATTTTCCATTGCCTTGGAAGGCTTCATTTACTGAAAGTAAAAATGCTTCCTCCTTAACAAGTAGTATTTATTTAAAAAAAATTTTTTTTATTGAATGTATTGGGGTGACATTGGTTAATAAAATTATATAGGTTTCAAGTGTACAGTTCTCTAACACATCATCTGTATGTTGCACTGTGTGTTCACCACCCAAAGTCAAGCCTCCTTTGGTCATCATTTATTTTCTGTTTACCTTCTTCTACCTCCCTCCCTATTTGTTCTTAAAGAGGATTTAATTAACTTAAGGCAGTTCAGAGCAACACAACTGTGATTTTCACCCCCAGCCCCCCACTATTTAATCAGACTGTTACTTCTCCCAAAGAGACAGATGGCAAGTCTCTAAACTCCCCCAAAGGAACAGATGGTAGGTATAGTATATAAGCATTAGGAGTGATCATTTATCATAAACATTAAAAATGCAGGCAAACAAGTAGACCACTTACTGGTAGGAGTTTTTGTTGGCTGAGAACCCTCTCCTTCTTTTTCTTCCTTACACCTTAGTGCCCTTTTGGATCGAGGCCTGGTGACTGGGCTCCTATATGAGTCACTGGCAAGACTTGGACTGTACTTGCAATTGGGCAAATAGAGGTCATCAGACTCATCCCCAGAACTGCTTGATTCACAGCTGCTCACTTCGAATACATTGCTGTTTTCTTCTCTTTTACAATCATTGCCCATTTTTTGTCGGAAAGGAGTAAGATGAACACATTCTTCTGAATTAAAATTGTAAGCATCATTGGAAGTGATAAAATCATCCAACTTTGTTTTGGAAACAGGTTTTTTAATTTTATTTTTGCTGCCTTTATATTTAGATACAAATTTTGATTTTCTCCTTCTGTTAGCTCTTCTTTTCTCTTCTCTTTTTCTTCTTTGTGCATCTCTATGCTTATTTTTAGTTTGCTCAGATTTATTCTCTAAAATGTCTTCATTGATTTTCGTGTAACTTTCTGGATGAACCAGCTTTGGTGATAGGTTAATTTGATCCTTGTTCCATTGACAAGCACTTTGTTCTACATTTTCAGATATGTGCATGTTTACTAGTGGGTCTGCAAATCTAATTGTTTCCAGTCCAAAAGATGGCTCTGACATAGGTCTGATTTCAAAATTATCCAAGGTGGTGATTTGGCAGAGATTATTAAACTGTTTCTTTAGATTGCGACGGAGAGATACCGTTCTAGGTAAGATATTATCAGCAGGCTTATCTTCACCTGAATCCAAATCAAATCCCATTCTGTCGTGAGGAATAGTAGGTATTTGCTCTGAGAATTTAAAAAATGAGAAGTTTTACTTAATGAAAATTTTAATTTCAAGGATCTTAGAATTCAAAGTTAAAAATAGAATAAATGAAAACTTATTCTGTAGTTTCCCGACGTTTATTGTATGTAAATAAAAATCTGGGGAACTTAATATCACCATTGATTTATTAGGCAATGATCAATTGATGGCTTATATCTGACCTGTGGAAGAATCTTATATAATTTTCAAAAATATTCTAATTTGGGGTTTTATGTGCTCCTCATTTAAAAAATAACTAGTAGTTTATCTATGTGTATAGGATTGAGAGGGAAAGAACCTCATATTCCAAAGTAGGACAAGTACACCAAGAAAGTGGGAGCTAAGTTGTCTTGAAAAATGAGTAAAATTGGGATAATTGGAAAGCCTTTCAGGTAAGAAATATAAGAATATAAAAGGTTTTTGTTATTTTTTAAGAAAAATGAGGATATTTGGTGCTGCTTTATTCAGATGCTTGACCAATTTAAGTAGAGGATTGATTGATATTTGAGAACAAGGGCACACTGATTTAAAAGTAGAAAGGAGGGCATGGCTTTGGAGGTCAGCTTTGAGTTTAAACCTTAACTCTTACCATCTCATAACTTCTTATGAGATACTTCTACTTCTTTGGGTCCATATAAAACGGGACTGACTGTACCTATATTGCAACGTTGTTGTGAAAGTTAAGTGAGACAATATACGTAAAATGCGTAACAGAGCTTGACATATTGTAGGACTCAGTAAATTGCAGCCATAGTTATAGTCAAGGTTTCTAACTAGAGATTTGGCATAATAAATGAGTGAATTTTAAAACTGTTATTATTCTGTGTAAATTAAACAGATTTGCTTTGAGCAGAATACCAGGCAAGAAGATTTAAAAAGCTAAAAAGGATAATTGGAGCAATTTAATTACGTTACTTATTCTCGAAGACCTCATCTGGCCCTTATCAGATTTTCACGTGAATTACCTTCTATTTGGAATGATTCTCCTTGTCCTGGAGAGTGAGCTTCCTGAAGAGGGGCTTGCCTTAGAAAACACCATTGAACACAGAAATTTAATTAATTACTAGGTAATAAAAATAATTTTGAAATTTTCTTTAAATTTTTATTTCCTTTTAGCATTATTTCATAATTCCATTCTAAATCAGTATATCTGTTTTACATCAAAGGAAACCCAAAGCATTTATATTGATTACAAGGAGGCTGATTTGTTACAACTGATATTCAACTCCTACTGGAATAAATAACATATCCAATTGGACAGTTTCTCCTTAAAACATGCCATAACTTGTAATTTCATTTAACTGGAGAAACAGCCAATCAGAATTGACTTATAAAATATATGAAAGAAATGCAGTTTGATTATTCAGCTCTTTAGGAGCCTGCTTTATCATCAGCTGAACTGTGATTTTTTTTTTTGCGTAGTACCTGCTTAACTACTGAAGTTAACACGTTCATTTTTTCTTAAAAAAAACCTTGTCCCTCTTTGGTGTATGGAAAAATAAATCTTTTTATGTTCTAGTACTGTTACTGGCTGTTTCATTTTAATTTTAACTTTATTCTTTATTTACTGTAGAGAATTTTCACTTTTAGACATAAAAGTTTACAGATTTAGGCAACAGTTATGGCAACAAACTAATAACAATTTCAGAAATTTTATAAAGACTCAATTAACTCCTTTTACTTTTGGCCTGTTACATAAATATTTTATCAGCTGTTAAAGTTCAACAGTTTTAGATTTATTAAAGTTAATATGGGGATATACATCACACTAGTGATTAGTTCTGTAAGGAAGCGGGGCACAGACTCAAAAGGGGTATGAAGGAATGGTCTGTAACAGTAGTTCCTACTTGACGACAATTACAGCCCCCTAGGGGATGCTTGGCAATGTCTGTAGACATTTTTGTTTCTCATAACTAGGGGAGAGGAGAGCTACTGGCATGTAGTGGGTAGAGGCCAAGGATGAAGCTGTATTTGCTGAGGACAGCTCTCCACAACCAAGAATGATCTGGCCCCAAATGTCATAGTGTTAAGACTGAGGAACCCCCGGCTGGCGTGATGGCAATGCTCTACATCCTAATCGAGGTTTTGATTTGACTGTACATTAGTCAAACTCATTGAACGTGTAATTAACATCTGTGCATTTTACTGTATGTGATTATATCTCAATAATTCATAAGCAGACAAATAAAGTGTACCTGATCTAAGAGACAGGCAAGAGGGTATCTGGGATCTGACTGTACTGTGGAATAAATTGGTTTGGCAAGCGAGTGTGACAGTGCTGTTAAATGTTTTCTTTCTTTTCTAAAACAGACTCTTTGTAGTACCAGCAAAATACCATCATTTGACTAACCAGTCTTGCTTAGAATAAAATCTTGGCATAAGAAAAATATAACTGAATGGAATAATTTAAAAGCTTCTTATTCTTAGACATCAAAAAAGTAATTATAAGGAAGATTTGGTTTGGTTATATGTTGTATAACAGCATTTCAACACATCAAGTTTTCTTAATTATATTCTCAGTAGTGACTACATCAGACTCAAAATATAAGAGTCAATATGATGCAAATTTCCTTTCATAAACGGATCACAAAATTACACCTCTTTGGGTATTAACAAGCCTAATAATGAATTTGATACTAACGGTAAATCCTTTGCAGATAAATCCCCGGCATTGCTGCCACTATTGCAGTCTATTCCAGAGGAACTTACTTCATGATTCTGTAATGTATCAAAAGAAAGAAACCACTAGTAAAACTGAAATATTCATAACAAAACATTCATTTATTCAAAAATAAACACTTATTGACAGTCTATTATGGTGCCAGGTGCTGTTCTAGGAACTGAGTCTATAGCAGCTGGAAAAAAAAAAAAATTTAGTCCTACCCTCTTAAAACTCACATTTTAGTGAGAGAGAAAATTTTTTAAAAAGACAGACATAATTTCAGATAGTCTTAAGTGTTATGAAGAAAATGCTCGGAGTGACGTGGCAGGGAGTAATCAAGGTGAAGGGCTCTTTTAGATAGAGTGACTTTTCATCTGAAATCTGAAGAATGCAAAGAGCCAGTCACTGAAAGAGCACGGGGAAGAGAAAGCTGTGGAAACAACAAATGTAAAACTCATGTAGGAAAAACCTTGCTTTGTTAAGGAAGGCCACTGTGGCAGGGACATAGTCACTGAGAACAGTAAATGTGCACACAGGCCAGACAATTTACGGCCGAGAGCCATGAGTTTGGATTTTAATACAAGTGTGGCTTAAAAGATCACTCTGGCCATGTGTGACACACGGACTGCAAAGAGCCAAGGGCAGAAGGAGTGAGTCACCTTAGTAAATGAAACAAGACATACTAGCTAGGACCGGAATTCTGTGGCTCTGCAGGTGACAGCAGGTGGAAGGTCTTGACATAATCAAGTGTGCTCAGATTGAATAGGGGTTGAGGTGGGGACAATGAGAAAGGATGGCTTCTCATGATTTTGAGTTGAACAAATGGGTAAAGCCGTTTTATTGAGATGGGTAAGACAGAGGGAGGCAGAAGTACACAATATCTTTCTCAGGGAGGGAGTTTTGCTTTGTACAAAATATGAGATCCTTTATAAATATTTAAGTGGATATATCAAGTGTGTGTGTAGGTCCTGAGCTATAAATTGGGAAGTTATTGCAGGTAGGCAGTATTTAAAACTATGGGAATGGATAAAATGGGTCTAGGACAATTGACATTTAAAAGAAGCCAGCAAAAGAGACTGACATGGAACAGTCAGAAAGGCAGAAACAAAACTAGGAGAAGATGGTAAGAAAGCTAAGAGATCAAAGTGCTTCTGGCATAGCGAAACCCCTGTGTTGTATATTACTTCAAGGTCAAGAAGAAAGAGAAGTGACCATTGAATTTGGCATCATGGAGGTTTGGGTGACCTTGACACAGAATAATGATAGAATGACACGGATAAAGGCCAGATAAGAGTGAGTTCAAAAGTGAATGGAAGCTGAGGCAGTGAAGACATCAAGTGCTCTGTTCTCTTTGGGAAAGTTCTGCTGTGAATGGGAGCAGAGAAATAAGCAGATAGAGATGAGATCAGGAGAGGTTTCATTTATTTTCTTTTCCTTTGAAGGTGAGAGATGCTAAAGCACCTTTGTATGATAGAATGATTCAGCAGACCGAGATACACATTGGAAGGGAGTGCAAACTTTTGGGAGCCAAGTCCTGGGGGAGAGGAGAAGAAGGAAACTGAGGCACAGGGGGAAGGCCTGGCCTTTGGTAAGAGCAGTGACACTTCTGTCACTGCAGCAGCAAAGGAAAGATGGAGAGCGTGAGTACAGATAAAGGCAGATTTGTAGACCTGGGTTAGGAAGATGAGAGCTCCAGTACAATTCCTTACAAGTCATTCTAACTCAGTTCAGCTGGGTTTTTTGGGAACTTGATGCACATATAATGTGCTAATTTATAATGAGCTAACTTATAATGAGTAGGTTAAAACTGTTCATCAGAAACAAAACTAGAAATTTAATCCCATTAAAAGTTTTAAATTTATTATTAGCACAGATAATGTTCTAAACTAGTATTATTACGGGGTAAATAAAGGAGAATATTTACCTACAGAGTAATACAATTAAAAAATCATTAAAATGATCCATTATAGAGTATAGGGAACAAAAGGCTATTAGAAATTAATTTCTGATTAATTAAAGCATCTTCTTATTAAAGCACTTTAAGCTTCTCCATCACTGCTAAATGACTTGCTAAACGACTTGCTAAACATGGAGGCACAAGTATAGACTAATGGTTGAGAATGAGTGACATAAGCAACATATGGCAGAAAACAAACTCTGATGTTTTAAATGCTAAGAATACTTTTGCCCAGCCACTAACAATATGTTTTAATAAATACTCAAAAATCATTGATAAATGCCAAAAGGCCTGCAGTAACAGAGTTTTGCCCCGAGTGTTTTTGTGATTATCTCATGGAGTACTTATTGTATGTTATTCTATGTGTGATTTTACCAAGAACTTTGGAAAGGGAAGAGGCAGATTCAAATGTCTTTGAAGAATTTTTTTCCTCACTAGTTGACAGAAAAAGGAAAAAAAAATTAGGAAAGATTACATTCTGAAGAAATAAAATGTTATTAAATAATCTAACTCTCACATGAACGTAAAGAAATCATATTAATCTTTATAAAGATAATTCTCTACTACACTATATAATACACACACACACACACACACACACACACACACTCTCCATATATCACACATAGAAAAAATACGGAACCCTCTTAGTTTTAGGGAAGCAAGAACTCTCACTGACTCCTGTCAATAGAGAGGTGACTTAATTCCTTTCTCAGGTTCATATTCCTACCCTAATCCCTATGGCATGGCTTTCTTTTCTCATCTCCTGCTAACACAGCTATCTTCTCTGGCACAGCAAACAAATGGTCTCCAGGGAAGAAAGTAAACTGTTCATTAACACCTGACACTCAACACTGCTTTTCTCTTTCTCTGCCTTATGAGTTTCCCTGGTAGTGGCTTCTGGGAGAAGGAATGGCTGACTCATCATTACTCTTCTCTGGATTAACATGCAATAAGACACAAAGAATATCCTAAATCAAGCTTTCTCCATGTCTGTTATATTGTGGCTGGCTCTTCTATGTAACCTTAGACACAAACAGAATCAGACTGAAAATGTGGACAGAAAAGTGTTCAGGACATTTCTTGCTTGGGAATTCATGTATAACCTTCATTTAGCCAACTAATAGGTAAAAATGATTCTCTAAAAGCACTTAAATACATCCCACTCCCAAATCACAAGGTACTTCATATAACACACCACTAGATGTAGCAAAACTATATAGAAAAGCTGAGATTGATAGCACCATTAATAGTTATTAGTAATTAAATAACATAATTGATGTAAACTACTAATTCAGAGCTTTACCATTATTTTCTAAGAAATTCAACATTTATAATGACAATACCTGAGCAGGTTCTTCTGTTTGTTGTGAAGTAAGTTTTTCTTTCAATGCATATAACTGATATGTGAGGTAGTAACATTGTTTTCTCAGCTGTAGGATGGTATCTTGGGCTTCTCTCACTTTGGATTTTTCATTTTCCAAAGCTAAAACTAACATTTTGTTGTTGTCTTGGTAGTTTTTCAGCAATGTAGAAGTGTTGGCTACAAGAGGATAAAAAGTTTTTTTTTATTAGTTATTAAATCCAAACTTAAAAAGTGATGTAAAAGGACAACAAGAAAATCTTACTGATTATTTGGCATGGTGGAGCTATAAAAGACTTTCGTTTGCCAATCTCTGCCAAGTTTTTATTCCTTTTCTCTTTCATCCGTTTCTTTATGTCTTCAAGACTGTCTTGAAAGGACTTTTTGAGGTTCCTTTCCTTGGCCATCTTCTACCTAGGAATTTAAAGGAATAAACAATATTTCATTTTTCTAAAAGATAGTATCAAATATAAAACAAGCTTGAAAACACAGGCTGTTCATAAATGATTAAATAGAGACATAGTAACTGAAAAGTTAGCTCAAAGTACATAGCTAACCTGGTGATAACCTGGATTTTGTAGCTTTTAAATCTCATTAATATTTTGGGCATAATATTGTCCTCCTCGGGTACTTTATAGGGAAGGTTTTAATAAATATGGATTTACAACCCAAAGATTGTAATATACCACTTATTTATTCTTTAACAAGTACTCACTGGGAGCTTACCATATAGTAGGCACTATGGGAAAATTTAATATTCTGTTTTCATTATTATTACTTATGTGTCCTACAGGCAATGTTTATGACCAACATTTAATGTTTATTAAGCTTATAGCATTAGTTCAGAGGCAATCATATATCTGGGCTTTGTGTTCCAGCTTTTCTGTATATTGTTAATTTATCAGATTGGGTCATGTGATTACTTCTCGCCCCTGCTCTTTTAATCCAATATTCTTTAAGATATGCATATACCCTGAAGAAAGTCAAAGTGATCTTCAGAGGTTTAAATTATGCAGCACTACAATTTTAATAGGCTGTTATAACAATGATAGAGCTAGAACCAGCAGGAACCCCAGTTCAGCACAGGAACATGTCAGTTTTCTTAAAGTTATTCTAACATTCAGGGCTGCTAACTCCCAGTGCATCGTCAATATGGCAAATCAGACATTAAATAATGACTGTTTTACAATACAGTTAAAAGGAGCAAAACAGCATTGACAGTGGAGTATGCTATTGAGTATATTGATACATAAGTATACTTAAATCTTTCAATGAGGCAAATCAGATAGGCTTCATTCAGTCTTTGCTACTAAGCATGTCGAACTATTTTTTTCTGAACATTTACCCTAGACTACACTTCTGCAGATCTTCATACTGCAAAAAAGAATTATATCCTACAACAATCTATGTATACAATTTTCACTACAAAGTCTACCTTCATCTCCTCTTTGTCAAAAAATTCCTGAAACTTAAATATTCTTGAGGATTTTCTCCAGGCCTCCCTTATTTTCCTCTATGCAGTGTCTGGGGTCTTAAATTCAGATATTGTAGATCTCACTTAAATATTTCCTTTCTGCCAACATCAACACACGATATACTGGGATCTTCCCAGTACAGAAAACACAACTATTTTTAAAGCACTCAGTGAGTTGTATAAAACAATGTACCACAATGTAGCTTTTGAAGGTCCAGTTGGAGATGTTTGAGAGCCATACCGATTAAACATCAGATCAAGTTTGTTTAGTTGCGGTATTTTAAAAACGAAGTGTTGCCTGAACAATAAAAAACTAAATTTAATCAACTTAATATCCCCCCAAATTGCCGTACCATATGTTTTATTTCCTGTCTAGGCCGAAGACGATACTAACAGGGAGGAGGTGTGGCGGAGAGCACAAATGAAAACAGGTTACAGTGCGAGATGACAGTCTCGATCTGTATCGGTAAGGGGTCTGCGTTAAAAAAAACAGAACACCTTAGACTATTTGATCTCTGTCCCATTCTTTCTTTCACTCCTGCCGCTGAGGCACCCAGGTGGGGCGCTGGTCAGGCCTGCTTCTCCAGAGTGAGCGACCAAACAAAAGCGGAGGGATGCACAAAAAACAGTTGCCAAGTTTGTGTGCCCGCATATTGAGCCTGGCTTTTAACTACTTTAAATGCTTTATCTGCACATCACTTAATTCACACCATTCTACAAGGCAGGAGGTTCAGGTCCCCATTTATTTAACAGAAGAGGAAATTGGATCATCTGGAAGCACGGGTCGAGGGGCAGGACAAGAGAAAGGCACCAGGTCGGGCCGACCCCACAGCCTGAGTTTTTGGCCACCGATCTAAGACCGGCAGAGAGACCCTAGGGGGAGAGGAACAGGGGTCACGACGCCTCCGATCGACACCAGAAAATCCTGTGGCCTCCTCTTTGTCCGAGGGGTTTCAGGAAAGCCAGCGGGCGGGGGTGGGTGCATTGCTGGAAAGGGCCAGGAGACCCGCCTCCCACAGGTACGTCCGCAACGATACCTTGGCCACCACTTCTGCAGCCGCTGCTTCCCTCCTCACATTCCAAGGCTCCGCGAAACTGTCCTGCGGAGCGTGCTCAGGGTTTCCGAACCTCCAGGCCCAAAGCACAGGTTCCCGTCAACTACCGAATACCGCCACCACATTCGAAATTCGCATCCGCGCTCATCCATTGGCTGGCGGGAAGGCTGTCACGTGAGGGGAAGGCGCAGTTAGGACGCAGGCAGGGCCCCGCCCCTCCGCGCGTCCTCGCGTTACGCACTCTCCTCCTGCATCCACATCCGGGCATCCACAGTCTCAGTCCCGGGTGGGCGGAGTCTCATGTGTGACCCTGTCAACCTGCCTGCACTTTTCTGCTCTAGTTGTTGGCTTTTAGGGGTGGAGCCGCTCCCGGACATTTGAGGGGTGGGTCTTTTAGGGCGTCCAGAAGCTTCCTGTTTCTTTATTTTTGCAGTGTCTCCTCTTCGAGGTTGTGCTCTAGGGTTCCCTCTTGTGAGAAGAATCTCCTTGGTTTGTTGCCTGCCCAAGCAGTCGAACTGCAGCGCGGGGGCAGCTTTTCGGGAGCAAATTTTGGATTAACAGGATATTACTGGAGGAGTTGCAGATACCTGAAGTATTCAACTCCAGGTTCTTGCTCTTGCCCGGCTACCTCCGGCTCTTTAACCTTCAGGAAATGGCACCGGCATTGATCCAGTCACTGACCCGGGAGTCTGGGGAATCTTTATCATTTTTTTTTTGTTCTTTAGCCTTTCATCGTCCAGTCAGTCAGCCAGTCCTGTCAATTCTGCTTTCTAAGTCTTTCTCACGTCCAAACCTCGCTATTTTCCGTCCTCTAATCCAGCCTACTTCCCTTCTGTGAGCCGCGCAAGCATCTGTTGACTCCACTCTTCGTTCTTCATAGCGTGTCATTTTGACAAGGCAAATATGATTCACTATGAAACTCAAATTATGGCTGCCCACGGCAATTAAGAGCTCGTAGGTGGTCCTTGAAGAGCCCCATGGTTCCTGGTTCCCCCTCTTCTGAATTTACTTCGATTTCCTTGTAATTATTCCTGCTTTTGCTCATGATATTCTGTTTGTCAAGAAGTCTTTTCTCCCCCTGAGCCCCACTTACTCTTACGCGTGCTGCAGGTGTCACTGCACAGCTAATTTCTTCCAGAAGACTTACCGTCCCCGAAGCTCCGTTCACAGCCTGCTTTGTGCTTCCTTAGGGCCCTGCAGGACCCCCTTGGTATTTCTTGTGGCACTGAATTGTCATTCATTGCCTATTTATTCAAGTTGCATAAGGGTAGGAACTATAATACCTGCTCTTAGTTAGATCTTTAGCATCTGTTTAGTAATTTGAAGTTGGTGAATAGTCACTGGGAAAATAAAACAATGGATAAATAAAACCTGAACAAGTGCTTTTAATTTAGGCATTCAATTTATTATAAAGTTGTTTTCTAACATTTAGTTAGTGGGATAATCACATTGTAAGGTATAAAAACGTTGAATCACTATATCGTACACCTGAAACCAACTACAGTTAAATAAAAATAAATTTTAAAAAAGATAACATTTACCCCATCACCCTAGTCTAAGACTCACCTCAGGCCTTCCTGGTTTAAGTGGAAGAGATTAGAACATCCTTCTCCAGCCAACAACTTGTTCTCCAAGGGCCATCCACCAGATTACTTTCAGCTTCAGGTACCTTATTAGTCTTCAGCTTGCTATACCTGGGCAGTGTGGTTCATATGTGCAGAAGAATCAAGAAGGAAGGAGCAGAGAGGTTTTTTTTAATCAGTTGAGGCTAGAGGGGATGAAGTGGAAGGAGAGACCAGGGCTGGATTTCTGGGCGTGCGACCTGTTCTCAGAAACGCCCTGCAGTTGCTTTAATGCTCTGCTCTTGCCGTCTTGAAATGCTTAATAATTTATCTTTGAACTTATGTCTTGTAAGTGAAGTCTGATGAGATAATGGAGCATGCACGTGAATATATGAGATACAGGAAATGAGTGTGTCCATTCCTGCCCTTTGCTGCCTCATTGTCATACAGTGTTCAGGTTGTCATGCCCACTAAATGGCTTCCATGACACACTTAATTTGTAATTGGGCCAGTGTGTTCAGAGGGGCTTCACACTTGGTTTAATGCTCTGCAGTCTTCTTGAAATTCTTACCAATTTTATTTTTGAACTGTGTACTCACTTTGAATCTCATTGCACTTTCATGCTTTTTAGCCTAAAGAGACTATTAAAATCTAATCGGAGATTCTTTATTACCAGATAATTTTAAAAACTACAGTTGGCTTTATGGAGCCAATAAAGCCCTTTGGATATTAGTAAAAGTTTAACTGAAGTATCATCTGAAAATGTGCATAAAATTACTATTCTTGTTATATGTATTAAAAAAAACTAGGCCAAATTTAATGAGACTAGACATATTTTACAAATAAATTAGTGTTACTGGAATATATTTGGTAAAAATGGGGTGACTGTAGAGAGAAAAATGTTTCTTTCAATAGAAAACTATTATGGTCCCATTATCAGATTCTAGTCCTGTCTATTGTCTTTGAGGTTTTGTTATCTACCTACAAACTGGACTGGAACCTGAACTCTTCTAGTTTCCTCTAATATCTGGCTACAACTCTCCAAACTAATATTTTCAATGTTCTCCCACCCAATTTTAGTGACTTGGAATTACTAAAAACTAAAACTTTCATCCCCCCCCATTCTAACTAGCTAAATGGGCACAACTCAATATAAACTTCAGAGATATCACCACAACAGATCATAAATGTGCCACCTTCATGCCTATGTCTGTGTAGGCCACTTAGAGAGTTCATCAGTGCACCCTGACATTACCAGACATTCCAACTGCAAATCAGGAAAGTTCATCAGATGGAAACTGTCATTCTTATTCTGC